ATAAATCATAAATAAAAGCAAATAAATAGTTTTTTTTAAAAAAAAAAAAAGAGGAACTTAAAAGAAATAGATCAAGTATTTGGGTTCAAAGAATTGCCAACTGTGGATGTAAATATGGCTCCTGAAAGCCATGTTAGATCTCAGAGCCAGGAAATGAAAGGAAACGTACAGTTATGTAGGTAAAATGTAGTGTTTTTTGCACAGATTTTAAATGCATTTTGTAAATAGGGTTTAAATTTGGTGGTCAAACAATCTAATTAGTAGGAAGGAAACACACGTCTTAAGAAAAACAGAACTTATACAATAAGGGAATTCCCACAAATTAAATGATGTTGGTATTCAAAAAGGAAGTGACATCAGAAACTCTACCACCATCAGGAACCTCTGTTACTCGTGTCTATGATTTTCTGCTTCATTATTGTCTCCCTGCGGATCAACTTCTCCTACTGCCCCACTACCATAGCCAGAAACCAAACAAATACACAAGCAAATGGCCCTGGAATTTATATACTATATTCTAGTCACTTCAAAATGGGCCAGTTTTTCTTTTTAATTTTTTATTGTGATTTGGGTAAAAGTTTACAAACTGCAACTTGCTTTTCCATACAACAATTCATACACATTTTGTTTTGTGATATCGAGTGTAATCCCCACAATGTAACAGCACTCTTCCCACTTCCTCCCTGGGTTTACCATTTTCATCCATCCTTCTTTCCTATCCTTTCTGTGTTCTAAACTCTATCCCTGGTTGAATACTGCCCTTTTGATCTTCAATAGTTTGTTTTTCTAAGGTGTGCATACCTCCCTCGTGTTATTGTTCACCTTATAGGCATGTCTATCTTTGGCTGAAAGTTGAATCCTTGGGTAAGTTCAGTTCCAGGACTATTGAGTGCCTAAGTGTCATAGCCTTGGGGGTTCCACTATTCTCTATCAGATAAGTAAGACTGATTTATTATTATTATTATTATTTTAATTTTCCCTCTATTTTTAAATTGCTAGTTCTAAAGAAGATTTTGGTAAGTACAGCCTTGTTCAATCAATTGAGAATTAAATATGGAAACTAAGTTTATAATAACTGTAGGTTATCTAAAGATTTTCTGGAAAATAATTTAAACATTTCACAGTAAAAATGCAATAGTTGGTAACTATGAGCATTTTTTACAGTAGTGGCAGTTAAAAGCAGAGTACAAAATAATAAAATAAAATATGTTTAAGATAATTTAATAATGATTACATATATAAATGTTTCACTACATAGTCATCTAGTTGACTAATAATATATGGGATAATATGAATGCCCTATGAATTTATTTGTATAGTCCTCCTTATTATCACATTTCTCAAAATAATTTTTCAGAAGTACTAGCCCAGCCTTCCCAATGACACCAAGCTTTATGAATCCAAAGTAAACTTTGGGTCTTCACATACAGAAAGATACATACACACCTATTAGATTTTATAACTTCTCCATGGATTCTTGGTACTGTAGAAGCTAATTAATACACCCTATTGAGTTTTAGTAAATTAGCCATGAATCAAATGTACTACATCAAAAAATAATACCAGAGATGTCAAGATAATATCTTGATGATTGAATTGGATCCATGATCTTGGGACCTTATAAAATCTTGACAGTTTAATTGAGTATAATAATCAATATTGTGGTTTCTCAAGTTTATTATGTCATAGTTTCTGAAGGTGTCTATGATACGACTTTGGGGAAAGCTTACAAAGAGTTTAAACCTATAGATTATATATAGACTTTAAAATTTCCAAAAGTGATCAGAGTGATTAGTCAGGATTCAGTCAACGATCAATGACACACATTACAATAGTAACTATTCCATAGTCTTTTTTTCTTTTAGTATAAAACTAGTCATCCTATTCTGAACTTCACTATGATCGTATAGACAATATTATTCAGAGAATATTATACAGTTTTTGGAAACCAACAAACTAATTGCCAGAAGATCTCTGCCCAAGAAAACAGTCTTAATTTTAAATATTACTTATGATTAAGACAATTGGTCTTGAAGGTGTTAATTACTAGAATAAATTAGTTAAAGTGATCACAGAGAATTTGTGATGATAAACAAATTAGGAACATTCAGTAGTAGCTGTTTCTTTAGAAGGGAGTTACTATATTTTCACAGGAAATTAAAGATTAGAAATAAACAGGTACCTAACCTGCAATTTTATGAAAGAGATTTCCCCTGATCATCTGCTGTATGGCATGAATCACATCCTTATTCCTCAAGCTGTAGATCAATGGGTTCAGCATTGGGCTCAAAAAAGTATAAAAAACTGCAATTATTTTGGACTCCTCTACAGACTTCTCAGACGGGGGCCTTTGGTACATGCAGAAAAGAGTTCCATAAAATATGGTGACCGTTGCCAGGTGGGAACCACAAGTGGAGAAGGCTTTGTGCCTGCCTTCAGCAGAACGCATCCTCAAGATGGCCACAAAAATGAAAAGGTAGGATAGGAGGATGATGAAGAGAGAGCTCGAGAGAGTGAAGCCAGCAACTGTAAACATTGCCATCTTTTTGACATAGGTGTCTGAGCAGGCCAACATTATAAGAGGAGGATCAGCACAATAAAAGTGATTGATTTCAAGGGAGCCACAGAAAGATAAATGAAAAGTCAAAACTGCTTGAGAGAGTCCATTAAGGAAGCCATAGGTATAAGGGACTGTCACAAGGGAGACACAAATGTTCTTGGACATCCTGGTGGTGTAATGTAGAGGACTGCAAATGGCAACATAGCGATCCAATGCCATGGAAGCAAGGATGTAAAACTCAGTTATCACCAGGGAAATGAAGAGAAGACACTGTGTGAAACATCCAGCATAGGAGATGGTCTTTTGGTCAGAGAGAAAGTTGTACAGCATATTGGGAGTAATGTTGGAGGAATAGCAAAGGTCTACAAAAGAGAGGTGGCCGAGGAAGAAATACATGGGAGTTTGGAGACGAGAATTGGTCCTGATCAGCAAGATCATGCACAGATTCCCCACCAGAGTGATGAGGTAGATCACCAGAAATACCCCAAATAGGATCTTCTCCAACATCGGGTCATCTGTGAGTCCCAAGAGAATGAATTCAGTCACTGCAGTGTAGTTTCGGAAGGACATTTTCTCATGCTCTGCAAATTGAAAGTGACAAAGAATAAGATGGTTTCCTTCTTTCCCTCATTCTGAACTTATTCCATTCATTGCACTGATGCATTCTTTCTTTCGTGGTCAATTACTCTTCATGCTTCAACAATCATAGCAGCAATATCTACGGAAACTATTTTCACCTTGTATCTCTGCTTTATCTATCTCACTGCCTCTTTCTGTACCTCAAATACTCTCTGTCTCTCGTATATGCACTCAAATGCTTGCATGTATATACAGCTATACACATATATGCCTGTCTTCATGAGGAACTCTGCATTTGGTATTTCTTTCAAACTTCATGAGCAAAAATAAGCAAATAAAAATGCTAAAGGGGAATAAAACCCACTTATGAAAAGGAGTAGGTCATTTGCATTATTCAAATGGATAAGTTTGGAAGGTGGTTCTCTCTTGAATTCCTGCACCTCCAACATCCAATTGTTTCAGATGCAAAATAGAAGATTAACTTTAAGTACTTACTTTTCATTTCAAGCCCATGCATCTCTAGCTTAATTTCATTTAAGGACATTGAATTACTGACATTTATCTCTTGATAAAAGATTAAGAAAGTACACAATCAAGAATTGTTGTCTGTTTATTGTAAATTTGGATATTTCTTTACACAACAAAGTTTGATTTTTTTGTTTTAGATTCTGGGGTCCCAGTAGTGAATAAGGAAAGAAATCTTCCACCTTTGTAGAGAATATGTTATAATAGAGGAAGCTGATATTGAGCAGATAAACAAATATATGTAACAAAAGATCAGATAGAAGCAAGCACTGTGAAAAAAAATGAAACTGGGTAAAAGTACAGTATGGAATGATATATGGTAGCTTGTCAGAAAGGGTGGAATTTGAGCAGTAAACCATGTAAGTATCCAAGACATCTACGCATTTGTATGGTTCCTATTTTTTGTGCACTCACTCATTCATGAAAATGTTTGTTTTGAGAAACATATGTAATGTTCATATATGGTTCTAGCTTCATTCTTCCTGTGTTCTTTTTGGAAAACAAGATGGCTTTAATAATCACTCTTGAAAAATCGAACTCTAAGGTCATTGTTGGGAGCTCTGGTAGCATAGTGGCTAAGGCACTTGACTGCTAACCAGAAGGCTGGCGGTTCAAACCCACCAGCCACTCCTCCTAAGGAAGGTTGGGAAATCTACTTCCATAGTGATACTGCCTCAGAAACCCAAGGAGGGGTTGCTATGAGTTGGGTCTGACTCGACAGCACATAACAACAACAACAAGGCCATTGTTTATTTACATACATCAGAAAAGCTTGGCATAAAATAGGTGATTTTTTTAGAGATGCAATAAACTTTTATTAATAGAGGAATGAAAATTCAAGTGTAATTCCTGAAAAAATATATATTTTTTCCACAGTGGTTGTATGCTGATCACGGAACATAAGAATAAGATATATTTTTAGTGAATAAACACACAAAATAACTTACCTGCAAATGCTGACTTACCGCATTTTGACAGAACAGAAGGGGGGAGGTTTTTTATTCTTTCACCTTGTTCCTTAAGTTTTTTTTTTTTTTAATAATGCAAACTAACCAATTAAAAACTCCTTGTTCCTCAAGGACATAATCATAATTTGATGTTTTGAAGAGTTAGACTCTCCTTTGAGGCCAAAACCTCTACCTAACATTTGTGTACTTTGCTTGGTACGGAAATACTTGAGATTTTCATACAGATAAATTAGCCACCACTTTCAATAAGAATGCAGAAAGAAAATATAGGCAAATAACTTTTGTAATTTTGGTATAGTATTTTAAGATAGTCTAGATGAGGGAATTCCCACCAGTTAACTTCAGATTGTTGTTTTCTTTCCTACAAACACTGACTTAAGGTCATCTGATGAGAATGACTGAGTTTTGAGAAGATAAAAGACTTAAAACAATGTGAGGAACAGAACGACTCTCCTGGGGCTGAATGGTAGATTTATGCTCCAACCAATTTGCCCTATTGAATTAACATCATCAACAGGCTAGGGCAAAGCCAGACCTGACAACCAGAGTTATTCATAATATGGATGATTTATAAAATTGGTGATTTAGGGGCAGGACTGCAAGTAAAATAAAAATCATTTGAATATTGTTTGGCACTACATGTATTAGAAAATAAAAGAAGCTGGAGATGTTTTCACGCATCTGTCTCTCCCATTGCACTGATCAATAAAACCAAAGGAAATAAAGTGCAGTCTAACAAACACTTCTGTGTAACTACCACAGACATTATAAGCAGCTTCTTTATTCTGTTTTTTTAAAAAGAATAAGTAGGCAGTCTGAAGCCTTAGTAAGTGAAAGAGTAGAGAAACTAAAAGTCTTTTTGGTGGACTCATGACCATTTAACTATGTCAAAGGTAATCCAAGACCAATCGTTGTCAATATAATATTGATTAGCATTGCAATCAAGTGTGCTGATAGCACCGGACATATTTTTATCTTTACCAACAAAATTCTAAGCACATAATAAGCAGTGTTAAAAATGTGTTAAGAAAGGGGAACTCATGAATTATATGTGATAACATGTAATTTACTATTAATAAGGTTAAAACTGGTGACGTTTTTGTTAAGTTCTCAACAGTATAAAGAAGTGTTGCCTATCTATGAATCTGTGAATGGAAAGAGAAATGGGCAGACAAGGAATTGAATTTTACCAAGTAAATGTGCAGTGAACTGTTGTAGCTACTGAAGAGTAAAATGTCTTCTTGTAATGCCTGCCCATATCTCCAACACACACATACACACACACACACACGTGCACACACAGATGCATACATGCATACACATACACACACACAATGGACATTCAAGCTATTACACAATAGTAATCTTTCCTAAAAAGAAGCAGCTTTGCCTATAATGGAGTAATTCTAGAGGGAGAGAGAAAGAGGGAGGGAGAGAGATTGACTCTTAATCTCAGACCTATGTTATTTTGAATTAAATTTTGTTCTTCCTGTGAAAAAGTCCCTTATGCTCTATATTGAAATCATATTTAGCTTATTTACAGTGAAAACTATTGTTGTTGTTAAGTGCCCTGGAGTCGGACCCGACTCATAGCGACCCCTCCTTGGGTGTCTGAGGCAGTATCAGTAAGGAAGTAGATTACCCATCTTCCTTCAGAGGAGTGGCTGGTGGGTTTGAACTACCAGCCTTCTGGTTAGCAGTCAAGTGCCTTAGGCACTATGCTACCAGAGCTCCCGTGAAAAGTATTAGATGATAAAATAGCATGTGTTTATTAACTTGCTTTAAAAACAAAACATTATGTGGCAGATCGTACAATCATATATTGAAGAACTTGTTCATTTCTAAGATTTACTTTTAGAAATTGTCCTTGTTGAACACTTTCACCTCCAGCTACCAAAAGCAGAAATTTCTCTTTCATCACACTCTGCCTTTGATTGGTATTATTCTTTCTTGAAGGATATAATGGATTTTCTTTCTTAGGAGCTCTTAGTCTATGTTGGGAAGCATTACACTGCATAGTAGTTATTTGTTTCTGTGACTAAGAGCTTGTTTGGAGTTGTAACGTCAACAGAATCCTAGCACTGGAGTAACTGTTTGGAGAAGGGTGAGGGAGGGTCAGGGGAACCTTCGAGAAGATAACATGTTCACTGTGTTTTGAAGGATGATGTCTTTTCCAGGAAAAGAACAATGAGATGGACCAAAATAACTAGATAGACAATAAAGAAGAACAAGAAAATTATGGTTTTTATATGTACTGTCTAAAAAACAGAATGAAGAAGGATAATATTATAAGATTTGGGTTAAAAAAAAAACAAAAAAAAAACTTAGACTCTAACTGAAAGCAAAATTATTCCTTAAATTCATTAAAGCAGCTACTTATCTATTTGGACTATAATAAGTTTTCATTGTCAAAGGTATACACTGAGTCATAATTAGCTTATTTTATCCAATATCAGTCACATGAAAAAACTTTATGTTCACATGGCAGTGGTCACCATCTACAAAGATAATCAAGTCCTTTTGCAGAAATGGTCCAGACATGAAAATACCAGTCCAGTCACCTCGAAGCTCAATCACATTGCAGATAGCAGTAAAATAGATATGTGCAGTTGCTTATTAAGACGTTGTTATTGTTTTTAAGTGCCATCAAGCTGGTTGGGACTCACAGCAACACTGTGTACAACAGAACAAAACGCTGCCTTGTCCTGCACTCTGCTCAAATTGTTGCTATGCTTGAACCTCTCCTTGCAGCCACTGTATCAATCCATCTCTTCGAGGGTCTTCCCCTTTTTTGTTGACCCTCTACTTGACCAAGCATGGTATCCTAACCTGGAGATTGGTCCCTTCTGATAACACAGCCAAATTGCAAAACATGAAGTCTGACCCTTCTCACGCACGTCTAAGGACCATTTAGGCAGTACTTCAGATGTGTTCATTCTTCAAGGAGGTCATGGTACATTCAATGTTCTGTTCCAACACTATTTTTCAAAAGCAGCAATTCTTCTGTAGCCTTCCTTATTCGTTCACCAGCTGTCATGTGCATAT